AACCCGTCTATGCCTCTGCTGTGGCTAATACCAGGCTGTCTGCCATTGACCTCCAGGAAGCCTAGTCCCATGGGACACATAGCTCCCGTCCGGCATAATGACATATGTCATGTTACACAGACAACACTGGAGTTGGTGTGGCAAATGTACACTTGCAACTTGAGCTAGTTCATGATTAATAGCAGCTGCTGTTTTATAACCACAAGGGTGAGATCACTTAGATCAGTGGTTCTCAACCTTCCTCATTGTTAATACAGTTAATACAGTTCCTCATGTTGTGGTGACCCCAACCATAAAATTATTTTTGTTACTAGTTCATAACTGTAATTTTACAGCTGTTATGAATTGTAGTATAAATATCTGGTATATAGGATATGTGATATGTAACCTCCAAAGGGGTCACAATCCACAGATCAGATTGAGAATCACTTCTGTAGATCATGCACTTTTCAAAGGCCTTTAAGAACAGATAGGTGGGGCTGGAGAGATGGCTCAGAGGTTAAGAGCATTGCCTGCTCTTCCAAAGGGTCTGAGTTCAATTCCCAGCAAACCACATGGTGGCTCACAACCATCTGTAATGGGGTCTGGTGCCCTCTTCTGGCCTGCAGGCATACACACAGACAGAATATCGTATACATAATATATTTAAAAAAAGAACAGATAGGTGAGTGGGCTTTAGCCAGGTCAGGATTGGTGTACATGGAGAGTGGAAAAGACAGTATTCTGGAAGCTTCTTGGGGTGGGAGTGACGGGGCTGGGAGTATGTTGGCACACTTGAAGCTCTAAAACAGGCCTCTGTGGGATGCAGAGAAGAAGATGAAGTGGAAAAATTGGAAGGCTTTCCTGGCATGGGGATATACATATTATACAACTTCCAGATCACTAAATCTCATTGTTCTTCATGTAGTTGAAGAAAAACAAAACAAAACAGATTGATCTGTGGCTGAGAAAAAAGTGAAAAAAGATTAAAATCTATACAACATGCAAGTTGGTGTGTTGTAAAAAGATTATAGGCTCTGGAATAAGCTGTTTATCTCAGCTCTTGGTTTGTTGTGCTGGGGATCAAACACAGGATTTTGTAAAGCCTAGACATGTACTCTACCAACTGAAGTATGTCCCTAGGCGCACCATCTCTGCTTATTAATAGTGTGGCCTTGGGTAAGTTACTTGACCTCTCTGAGGCTCTTTATTTGCAGAATGACCTAGTTAGTGGCCTTGTATTATGAGGATAAATAAAAAATTTATGCAAAATATTCAGCAGAGTAGTCATCACGTCAGCATGTTGTTACTGTTGCTACTCTTACCTTCCTTAAGGCATAGTGTCTATATATAAACATGAACCAAGTGCGATGGATACATGCAGATAGCATGCTTGTAGTGATGTTAGACTGTTTCACAAGAAGTCTTCAGTGAGATGGTAAGAATCTCTGTCTGGATCAACAATAATTGAAAAAGCAATTATTATTCTTATTGTAAATGTAAATTAACAGTCCTGGCATGTACTGTTAGGAAGCTGTTTTTATTTGAGAGAAAGAATTATAAGGCTAAATTTACTCTGAAAGTCAAATGTATAATGGTTTATAGCCTTTTCAGAGAGCATCATACAAGTAGATGACTTTCTGAAAATGCCAGAATATAATATTTTTAAAAATTGGGTTTTCTGTATTTCTCACTCAATCTTCCATCTAATTTAGCACAAACAAGATTTGCCATAAACTGTGAGTTAGATGTCTGTGGCTTACCGAACTATTAATGTAGAGGTACAGCAAAACCCTGACGTAACACAGGAAATGACCAAAATCTTCAGTCACATTATTAAACAATAATGAAATTACTTTTGTTTCACTAGTTGAGAGTTCTGAATGGATGGAAGCCAATTGCTAATTGTGTCCGTGCTATTCAAACTATTGTGGAGTACATTCAAATGCTAATGACATGGCAAAGAATTTTAATAATGACAGAATGTTTTTTGAGACAAGAAAATCATTTGGAAAAATATATTTTAGACTACCTTGGTATCACATGATTGCATTCCCAGCACTTGCGAGTCTGAGACAGGAGGACCAGAAGTCTGAGGCCACCCTGAGCTATTAAGTTCAATAGTTGTTCAAACCCTAGACTTGTTCATGCTAGGCAAACACTGAGCTACATACCTAGCCCAGGCCTTCTTAACTATTGCAAAGAATATTTTCTAAAATTGGAAATGGGTTTTTACTTAACTGCATACCATAATCAGCTATAGTAAATTAATCTTGCTTCTGTAATACTGCTATCCTTTCTGTCTTTCTTTCATCTTTTTTTTTTTTTTGTCACTTAATCCTAGAAATATTCATTATAGCAGAACAGCCCTCTCTGCTCAGGATCCAGACTGGGCTTAGGTATTATCATATGTGGTTGGCATGATTCTTTAGACTTCTTTGATTGGGAGCATTTCTATAATCTTTATTTTTCACAGCATTGAGGGGTTTTTGTTTGTTTTGTTTTGAAAGAATATACCTCCCTGGGGTCCTTAGTAGTGGGACCAGGATCTCTCCCTGGCACATGAACTGCCAAATGTATATATTCTCAAGACATAAGCAGTCTGACTATCCTGGAACTCACACTACAGACCAGGTTGGCCTTGGACTCAGAGAGCTCCCCCTGCTCTGCCTCCCAAGTGCTGGGATTAAAGGCGTGCGCTACTGCTGCCTTTTGGAACCCATTCTCTATGATGGGATGCCTCACTCAATCTTGGTGCAGGGTGGAGGAACTTGGTCCTGCCTCAACTTGATATGCCATGCTTTGTTGACTCCCATGGGTAGCCTTATCCTTTCTGAGGAGTGGTGGTGGGGGGTGTAAAGGAGGTAGAGGGGGAGGGAATGGGAGAAGGGAGGGAAAACTGTGTTAGGTATGTAAAATAAATAAGAAAATTTAATAAAAAATAAAAGCAGGATAATTAAGTTATAAGAGCTAGTTAGGAAAAAGCCTAATCTAAAAAGCCTAATTTAAAGGCCAAGCTTTCATAATTAATACTGTTTCCATGTCATTATTTGGGGGCTGGTGATCCAAAGATAGTCTGACAAGAAAACTTGCTACACTAGAGTTATCTGAATGGAGGGAGATTCAATTGAGAAAGTGCCTCTATAATATCCAGTTTTAATTAGTGATTGATTGGGGAGGGCCCAGCCCATTGTGGGTGGTGCCATCCCTAGGCTGGTAGTTCTGGGTTCTATAAGGAAGCAGACTGAGAAAGCCATGGTGAGGAAGTCAATAACCAACACCCCTCCATGCCTCTGTCTGCATTAGCTCTTGCCTCCAAGTTTCTGCCCTGTTTGAGTTCCTGTCCTGACTTCTTTCAATGATGTGGAAGTACACTTCCAAGTAAAACCTTTCCTCCCCCCACTCCCCCAAAGAATATGCCTCCCTGCCTAAAAATTGGAGTGTTGCCTATTTTGCTGTTTTTTCACTATTAGATTCTGGTTATACATTCCAGTTGGGAATACTGACAAGTGATGTCTTTCCTTAGAGTGCCACACTTGGAAATGCATGCTGTCTGCCTGCCCCTCATTACTGGTATTAGAATCACTTGGTCAACAAGTTCTCTGGTTTCTACTATAGAATTTCCTCTTGCAGCTAATAAACAGTCTGTTGCAAGGAGAGGCTGCTTGTTCGTCCTGGCCATCCAGCTAGCTTAGTCCTGAAATAACCACACAGAAGTTGTATTAATTAAATCACTGCTTGGCTCATTAGCTCTAGTTTCTTATTGGCCAATTCTTACATCTTAATTTAACTTTAATTTCTATTAATCTGTGTATTGCCACGTGGCAGTGGCATACCAGGTAAAATTCCCAGCGTCTGTCTCCGGTGGATCCGTGGCATCTCTCTCTTCCTCCTTTCTTCCTGAATGCCGTTTAGATTTCCCTATCTGCCTAAGTTCTGCCCTATCAACAGGCCTAAAGCAGTTTCTTTATTAACCAATGAAAGCAATGCAAAAACAGAAGGACCGCCTATACCAACAGTCTTAAGATGGAAAACATCTTAAAAGCAACCTGTGGGTTGAGACTGCAGTTAGTGGGGGAGCGTCAAGTGATCCTTTCATGGGGGTTGCTTAAAGCCATCAGAAAACACAAGCCAAAGGAAAACACAAATATTTATGTTACGATTTATAACAGTAGCAAAATTACAGTTAAAATGTACCAATGAAAGTAATTTTATGGTTGGGGAGTACCATAACATGAGGTACTGTATTAAAGGGTCATAGCATTAGGAAGGTCAAGAACCACACCATACAAATATGTTGTTATACTTCAAAATTTCTTCCTGGATTTAATATTCGTTATCATTGTGCCTGAGCCAGTTTATATTATGGTGACTTTAAAAAGGTGTTTTGTTTATTTTTTCGCCTGCCTGTAGTACTACTTCCTCCAGCTGGGCAGTTCCTAGCATTTTGCTATAAGCCATACTCCTTTCTTTTTTTATGTATTTGTCATTGTTATGAATGAAAAAAAAAACCTCCTATGATACATATAATTTCTTTTCCCTCAGTGTTCTAATGTAAAAGATTTGATTCTTGGGTCAATGATGACTTCAGGAGATTAGTGGCCACCCTGAACTTTTATGTTAAGTTCTATATATCTTTCCAGGGTTAGTGTCCATAACTTTGGCCAGATTTTTCTGAACAGTTCTTGATTTGAGTGTATAATTTTCACCTGGTTTTGTGAAGGGTTGACCTTTAAGCTACTTGGATACTTACATGTTTGTATGTTCTTTCCCTTGCTCTCTGCTCTGTGATGACTAGCTGCAATTCCAGAAGTGTAGTGTGTCTCCTTTCTTACACATCCACAACTTTAGATAGTAGTGTATCTTGGTTCTTCTAAAGTTATTGCTGGAATATATAATAAATGTTAATGTCTTCATTGCTACTGTAGCAGCAGTTTATGGTATATAGAACCAGTCTTGTGAAACAACAAATTACCTTGATTTAATTTGAAATTTTAAACCCAATGTTTTTTACACTGTAGTTTTATTAGCTCTCTGGGAGTGAGCTACATGATGTTGTGCACTGAAAATTACCCAAATGTTCTGGCCTTCTCTTTCCTGGATGAGCTTCAGAAGGAGTTCATTACTACTTATAACATGATGAAGACAAATACTGCTGTCAGACCATACTGTTTCATTGAATTTGGTAAGGGCCTGGTTTGTTTTGTTTTGTTCTTTTCTGTATTTTTTAATATCCTGCCTGTCAATCAGTTTATCATCTAATATTGGGGAGTAGTGGAGAAACTTCTTCAGCCTTGATTTTGATAGAATAATTGGCAAAGGATCTATAGTTCTTAATTTGGATGTCTTTTAGGAAAAAATGTGTTTGAGCAGTGAAGGAGATTGTGATCATTAGTCCAAAGAACGAATCCCAGAGGACAGATTCTCAGTGAGAAGTTTATAAGCCCCAGACTCTGTTTAGTGTTTATGTAGTAATCTTTTATAGTCTGCTTAATGTAGAACAGGGGTTGGCAAATACTGGCTGGAAAAGATCAGAGAGTGCGTATTTCAGGCTTTAAGGGCCGTCTAGTCTTTGCCACAACTACTCAGCTCTGATATCGCAGCTTGAAAGCAGCCACAGGCAATACATAAATGAATGAGCAAAGTTATTGTCTAATAAAACTTTATTTACAAATACAGCAATTTAGATTTGGCCTACGGGAGGTAGTTTTCTCAACCAGAAAAATCTGGTCAAAGTTATGGATTTCTTTACATAGAAAGAGGGGAAATAGTAAAGATAAAATTTTGCTTGGAAGATAATTTAGAAAATTTCTTTTGATCCACTAAACTTATTCTTTAGAACATACTATCTGATGGTGTAAAGAGTAAATAAGAAAGAAGATTTATAAAAACACATTGCTTATAGTATAATTTGTATGTAATTACAGCTAATTACAAATTGAATATTTTGTGAGTTAAGGATATAAAAATTAAGTCATTGGTTGACAATTAAAACTGGTTTCTTTTTGTTACTACAATTCCTAAAAGTCTATATTTAGGTTATAGTAACTTAATTTTAGAGTTTAATATTTAGAGTGTAAAACTGATGACTCCATGATACAACATCTTGTTAAACATAATACTGAAAATCCCTTGACAAACTGAGGAGTTTTGAATAACAAACTTTATAAAATTTATACTCATAAACATCACACTCTCAAATGATTTAATTAACAAATAACTGCAAGGAAATTTATTTTTTATTTTACATAGATAACTTCATTCAGAGGACCAAGCAGCGTTATAATAATCCCAGGTCTCTTTCAACAAAAATAAATCTGTCAGACATGCAGATGGAAATCAAGCTGAGGCCCCCTTATCAAATCCCAATGTGTGAACTGGGATCAGCCAATGGAGTCACATCTGCATTTTCTGTTGACTATAAAGGTGCTGGTAAGATTTCTTCTGGTGAGTTTTGGATCTTAATTATTTTATTAACTTTTTAAAACGTAAGAGAGGAACTCTTGAAAATCAATTGCTTTATTTTAGTGTTTTAAATCAACTTATGAGAGAATATGGAAGTTCAAAGTAATCCATTTTCTCAGTTGTTATAAAGTAGGCTACTGAAGGCTTGATATTTTGGAAATTACTTCCAAATGATAATCTCAGAAGGTATCTTTGCTAAAAAGCATTCGATTTCTTTGTAAACATTTTTTCTAGAAATGTCTATTATATCAAATAGCAATATTCAGTATGAGAGTTTTGACTGTAACAGAAACTAAAAGTTGTAGTGACTGACTACTCAGATCTCCCCTTCCAAGAAAGTACACAAGGCTTAACAGGGGGGTCAGGATGAAACTTCTCCATAAAATGGAAACCCCACTATTTCACAAAAGTAGAGTGTGCTATTGCTGGACTACTTCTTAAACATTTCCTTGTGAATCATGCTGATGTCTGATTCCATATTAATACCTACTGGTGTGGTCTGAGGTTCTGTCACCTCCCTCAGCTGAAGCAGCAGGCAGTTCCATTTTTTTCTGTGCTTCTAGCTTATTATTTTTCATGTAAAGCATCTTCAATTCCTTAAGACCTTTCTGTCATTTTGACACCTTCCCTAACCCTATATTTGTTTTAGTTTGCTAGTATTCTTTAAATGTGAACTGAATATGACATTTCACATGTAATTTAATTATATAAATATGGGAGAAAGGGAAAACCTTTCACTTAAATAATCCAGTCAGTCAATAAACAAGTAAATAAGGACAAGAAATAAAATGGCATTCAAATTGCAAAGAAAATAGATAATTCCATTCATGTGTGATTTTTTTTTTTCTGTAGAAAATTCTAAGGATTCCTCTAGAAAACTATTAGAACAAATGCATGACTTCACAGAGGCTGCATGATACCTTAGGTGTCAGAGCCTAAGACCTCTACACTGTACAGTAGCAGTAAGCAATCTGAAGATGAAATGGAAAGCCCATTTATTGGAAACCAGCAAAATATTTTTGAACGAAGTTAAGACAAAAATTAGTGGAAAGCAGATCCACATTTAAGGGTTAGTAGACAATCTTACTAAGATAGCTGTACTCCTAAGTAGATAGAGACTCAGCATACTCTGAACTGTTTTTTTTTTAATAGAAATTGACAAGTTGATTCTAAAATTCATATATAAATGTAAGGAATATATACATATATATGCAAAATAATCTTGGAAAAGTTGAAAAATTCAAACTTCAAAGGAATTGCCAAGTTATAGTATCGATATGGAGTGGTTCTGCTTTAAGGCTAGCATGTAGATCAGGGTAGTAGAATTGAGATCACAAAAGTAAACCCTTTCAGTGTGGCCAATTCACACAGTGATTCTAAGACAATGGTGGAAGATCATACAGTGTTGGGACAGCCACGTATTCACATGTAAAAGAAAGAAATTAGACTACTGCATAGCCACAGCACAAAAATTAACTCAGTGCAAAGACCTAAATTTACTAGCTCTAAACTCAGAACTCTTAGTAGAAAACATAGGTGTGACTCTTCATGATCTTGTGTTAGGTTTTTCAGATTTGATTTAAAAAAAAATCACTGTGAGGGCTGAAGAGATGGCTTAGTGGTTGCTCTTCTAGAGACCCTAGGTTCAAGTCCCATCACCCACATGGCATCTCGCATCTGTCTGTAACTGTAGTTCCAGGGCTTCTGATACCCTCACACCGACATACAGGCAGACAAAACACCAATGAACATTAAATGAAAATAAATTATATATGAAAAAAGACAAAATATACAAAATAAAATTTATCAAATTAAAACTTACTTTTCCATGAACACAATCAGAGTGAAACCTCACAAAATGAAAAAAATATTCACGAGTCATTTGTGCATAAGAGATTAGTATCCAAAATATTTAAGTAATTTGTAATTCAGCAATAATGAAGCAATCTGATATATAAACAGAAAAGATTTGAATTTGCTTTTTACCCCTCCTTCTCTTCTTCCTCTTCCTTTTGGTACAAAACCAATCAAAATGTGTTTGAGAGGTGGCTCAGCATTTAAGAGCACTGGTTGCACTTCCAGAAGACCTGGTTTTGATTCCCAACAACCACATGGCGACTCACAACCATCTGTAACTCTATTATCCAGTAGATCAGATGCCCTTTTCTGACTTCCTTGGGAACCAGGCATGTAAACAGCAGACAAAATACCCACACATATAAATTTCATTTAAAATTTAGAAATCAAAATGTACTTATTTAATATACATTTAAAAGGCTCTATTAGAATTAATTTAAAAGACAACCCCACAACTTAAAATAGAGACTCTACAGAATTTGAGGGGATGACAGACCGTCCACTACTGTCTGTTGGATGTTTTAATTGCATTGTTCATGTGATTTTTCAAATTTGTTTTCTGGAAAATTGCATTAATTTCTTTTCAGTTTTTAAACAAATTTTTAATTTCTATGTTAAATTCCCCATGGTCATGATGTGTTATGCTTTTTATATGCTATCAGATTCAATTTGCTAAAGTTTTGATACTTTATATGTGTCTCACTGAGGGAGTTGATTTCTAGTTTTCCATTTTTATTTATGCTTGGTTTGACTATCTTGGCAAAGCCAACATGAGAAATACACTGGAGGGTGCTCCTTCCTCTTTTATGTTTTTTGAAAGTGTTCTGTAGGACCCAGCAATGAAACCTCAAATACCTTTGTCTGGGGAAGATTTAAATCAGTTTCTTTACTAGGGCCAGGGCTGCTCAGCTTGTCTGTTTTTCTTAGTGAGCATTTGCAGTTTATTTTAAAGAAATCTGTTTATTTTTTCCAGGTTATGGATTTTTGATGTATAATCCATGTTTCTTTATCCCTTTATTTTCCATAGAATTAGAATTATATCATCTTTCTTATTTCTGATATTGGTAATTTTTCTTTTGCTATTTTCTCCTAGCACATAAAAACTGATCACTTTTATTGATTTTTTTTAAAGAATCAGCATTTTACTTTCATTGATGTATTATTTTCTATTTTATTGACATGTTCTGCTTATTGCTCCCATTTTCTGCTTACCTTGGGTTCCCATGCTCTTGTTTTCTGAGATTTGGAGCAATTTATTTGAGATCGTCTTTTCTAAAACAAGCACCTGCTGCTGCCTATCTCGTTCTCAGTATTGCTTTAGTTACATCCCATAGATTTTTTAACATACTGCATTTTTTTCATTCTGCTTAAAATACTTTTAAAATTTCCTTTTGACTTTTTTGACTCCTGAATTATTTAGAAATGTATAGTTTTATTTAGGCATTTTCAGATCTTTATTGATTTTTAACTTAATTACATTGTGTTCAGAGAACAAACTTTATTTGATTTGGATATTTTAAAATTTATTGAGACGTGATTTATTCCCAAGAAAATAGTCCATTGTTAATCATTCTTTTCTGCTTAAAGTGCATACTCTGTTGTTAGTGGTGTATTCTGTGTTACTTAGATCAAGATAGCTGATATTGTTGAAATCTGTTGTGTCTCTTCTGACTTGCTGTTTGCTTCATCCATCCTTTGAGAAATGGTTATTGCAATCTCTTCTGAATGTATATCTTATTTTAGGATGACCAGTTTTCATATTATGTATTTTTTAAAGATTTATTTCTTTGTATTATATGTATGAGTGTTTGCCTGTATGTATTTTGTGCACAATGTGCATACTTATTTCCCACAGAGGACAGCATTGGATCCCTGAGAACTGGAGTTATGGATGGTTGTGAGCCTGCATGTGGGTGTTGGGAACTGAACCTGCTTCCTCTGCAAGAGCAACAAATGCTCATAACTACTGAGCCATCTCTCCAGCCCCCTATATTAATGTATTTTAAAGCTTGTAGTTTGAAGCATTGGTTCCTTTATCATTTTGAAATTCTTCATATCAAGGAATATATTACACTTTGAAATCTTTATAATATAGATACTACATTAAAATTCATGTTAGAGTTCCATCTGTTGTCTGTTTTTCTCTGTGTCCTTATGTTTATGTGGTAGTTTAGTGCCTTTTCAGTGGGAATCCTAAAGGTCTAATGAGGAGTATCAGGTACTTGAAGGCTATTAGAGTCTGACTTCTTGCTTGTATATGAAGCTGTCTGCACCCAACAGGATATCAGTCACCATGGTACAGCCATCACTTTTCTACAGTGACTGGGGACATGTACATTGCTCTAATTTTATTTGTTTTTCCTACTAGAAGCAACACTTTGACATTTGTTGTGTGCCCCATTTCTTGTTTGTTAAATAATTGATAAGTTTGGGAAGCACATTATCAGGAAATACTATACTGTTAAGTCTTTCTACCTCTGTACTTCCCTAGTAACCTTCTGGTCTACCTGGATGAGAATACTCTGAAGGCCACTGGAATAACCAGGAGTTGAGTTTATAAATGTCACAGTGAAGAAATACCTTAATAATGTCTACTTTTAAAACTGGTCTTATGGGTTAACAAGCAGCCTAGTGAACAGTGTTTGATCATCATTTAACCAGCAATGATTCTAAGTGTTTTTGTGATTCCGCATTGTAGAGATAGGAGTGTCGGGGCTGCGTCCCCGGCACCCGGCCACCTGCATGGCTAGCTTATGCCCTAAATAATTACACGGAAATTGTATTCTTTTAAACACTGCCTGACCCATTAGTTCCAGCCTCTTATTGGCTAGCTCTTACATATTGTTCTAACCCATTTCTAATATTCTGTGTAGCCCACGAGGTGGCTTACCAGGGAGGATCTTAACCTACGTCTGTCTGGAGTGGAAGAATCATGGCGACTCCTGACTCAGCTTCTTTCTCCCAGCATCCTGTTCTGTTTTCTCCGCCTACCTAAGGGTTGGCCTATCAAATGGGCCTAGGCAGTTTCTTTATTAGTAAGAAATCACTCCCACATCATTTCCCCTTTTTCTGTTTAAACAAAAAAGAAGGCTTTCATTTTAACATAGTAAAATTACAGCCGGGCG